TGGTAGGTGCCGCCATATTACCTATTTTACCGCCAAATAACAGTGCATGCAATGCTGTATTCCATTTTGAAGGGTAAAGAGAGCCAGTATAATTACAGCTGTTTGGCACTCCATCTTAGTCCTCAGATGTGACAACGCATTTTTTTTATAAGATAGGGTGACAAACGAGAACACAGTTCACCTGATGGTAAGTGGTTTCTGCGGCCCATAGACATCTACATCTATCCTCGATTACGAATCAAAATGCAGATGCGTTGTTACGCGTGAGGACTAAGATGGAATGCCTCATTTCCAGTAAAAAAGGTCTCCGGTTCTCTACACTCACCATACGAAGCACAGCAGCGTTAAGCTGCTATTTTAGGCTGGTATTCTGTGAGAGCGTGTTCCTTCCCCGGTCGAGCCGACTCATTCGTGCTACAACTATATTAATAATATAGCTGCAGCATGGCTCTACCACGTAAAATTTTATAGCCCTCTTTGTTTAAAGTTATCTACAGATGTCCATGCAGGTTGCTGTTGCCTCAATTAAAGAAATTTAATAACTTCCGTGTTTCGAAATGGCAAAGTTAAACATTTGCCGAAGATTAAGTATTTTAAATGTCATAGTTCGTTCATAGGTGTAGATTTGGCTCTATATCAGATCTCAACACTTAAAATTTTATACGTAAATGGATAGCTTAAAATATAAACCGATTTCAACTTTCGTCTAATCTACATTTCGGTGTCTTTCGAGTAAAATTAGCATAATCGATTAACTGGCAAATGATGTGATACAGTTTTGAATTCTGCCGCGCTCAACCAATGCGTGATAGCTGAAATCGGCTATTGCATGTTATTCTTCGGAAAGCTGGCTTCCTCATGATGTTTTCCTTCATCGTCTTGTACAGTGCTAGTACTAATAGTAAATCAGAATAAATTGACATTAATACAATTTCAAAGATATTGGCAGGGTTCGAACATGGGTTATTATGTAGCTATGAGATCTTATTTTTATAGTCGAATTTGTAACCTACTATTTTCTAAGTCCGTAAAGAGTCGCGAGATTTGGTTATTTTTTTAATTTGATTTGTACATAGTGATTATTGTTATTTTTTAACTTGTCACGAAAATTAATTATATTGCTCAACCTTATATTTCGAAATTTGAGTGCATATAACTTGTAAAAATAAAATTAAAACAGGATGATCAACAGGCGTTACCGTGTAGTGGTAGTGAAAGAATATCCACTACCCCATATCGTCCCATTGGTGATATAAAAGGCGACAGAGGGAAACAAGACAGGAGATGGTCAGCAGCGTCTTCCTAATAACGACTAAAAATAAAAAACTGCGGTTGGCAACCCGCTTGTCAAGCGTGGCAACTATGGCGAATATCACCCCTATGACCTATTAGGCATTCTATGGGAGGCCTATCTTCAGCAGTGGACTTTAATAGGCTGTAACGGTAACGGATCATCAACAATCAATAAAATAACGACGTGGTAGATCAGGGGCAAAGCGCTCGATATAAATTTCACAGTACACGAGCAAATTGGGTTCGATCACCGCTGGCACCAATTAAATTGTTAATTCCAATTTTACGTGCTGATTTACCACGTGAAAAAAAAGTGAGCAAACCTACATTTCTTAAGTTTATAAATATATCAAAGCCGTGAAGTACTGGAGCAGCGCGGGCGCGGCGGATTAAATGTTCTATTACCCTGTCAGAAATTAGAGGTTATCATACATAATAGTAAATCATATATATATATATATATATATATATATATATATATTTATATGTGCACAGTACAATAATCATTACACAGTAACACAAGCGCTACGGTATAGTAGATTTCCTTGTTAGTCGAATTATCGCAATCATATTATTTATACGATTTAAATTTCGGTACAATTTACTTTATCGGCAGCTCGATACTGACACTTAAAAGCTCGCCTTGTAGTCTTTGTCACTTGTAGTACAATTTGGACGGTTATCGTGTTCACACGACAGGGTTGTGGAATTTTTTATGGACGAGCTAGATTTGAGTGTGACAAAGCAAATTAGGGTGTAACTGAAAACAACTACGCTACGTTGTTGACGAATTGCGGCCTTGGAATTAAACGCAGAGTGTCCACACGGACGCTATTTATCGAAGGTTAGTCGATTTGATTGTTTAAAAAAACCACTCAATTAAATTGAAGGTCGGCTATGTAAGGGTTCAGCTCCTAAATTAAACAAGCTTGCCTTAACATATTGTGTTTTTTTAATTTAACTGATTTTATGAAAACTTTGTTGTTTACCTAGGTTGTATAACAAGATATACAATAAAATTAGCCGTTACCATGTGGAATATACGCGTATTATCTACTTTCTAATTTTAAATACTATAAAGATCGATAAGTAAATATTTTAACCTTCAATATATTTTGTTTACGTTAAAAGTTAAGTTAAAGTTACAGCTTATATAGTCCCACTGCTGAGCAAAGGCCTCCTCTCGTTTCTTAGAGCGTTTTAGGGCAGATATGTCCGCCGCGCAGCCCCAATGCATGTTGGCGAACTTCATATCTCTTCGAAATATTTTTTTCTTAATTCTTAGACATGCAGGTTTCCTCACGATATTTTCCTTCAACGCCGAGCACGTGGTAAATCAGCACCTAAAATTGCAAATGACAATTTAATTGGTGCCGGCGAGGATAGTACCCGGGTTGCTCGCGTACTATTAAATTTACACTTTACAGCTAGCGCTTAGCCCCTGAGCTACCACTGCTCTATATTTTTTACATTACATTACATTATTTACCACAAAAATAAGTTAAACATTAAGTTTCTTCTTTTTTTATATATGATAGGGTGACAAACAAGCACACAGCCCACCTGATGGTAAGTGGTCGCTGTAGACCATAGACATCTACATTTATCCTCGTTTGCGAAAAGTGAGGACTAAGATGGAATGCCTCTTTTCCAGTAAAAACACTCTACACTCACCATACGAAACACAGCAGTGTTAAGCTGCTATTTTACGCTGGTATTCTGTGAGATCGTGGTCCTTCCCCGGTCGAGCCGACCTATTCGTTCTACAACTATAATACTAATATAGCTGCAGCATGGCTCTACCACGTAAACTTCTTATTTTACCTTACCTCTTTCCTGTTTAAAACTTATTTTTAGCGTTAGCTCCACACTGGGAGTTTCTTCTATATCGTGGAAATGTTCAAGCTTCCAGACCCCAAATATTTGTAGGCCATATAAATACTTGTTCTGTGCGGGAATTGAAAACGCGTCCCGCGGCGCCTTAGATAAACGCGATAACGATCTCCTTACAAAACTTAGTTTATTAATCTACTGGGTTATAAAGATGTTTTTGTCACGAAAGAAGTTCTTAGCCGCGGCACCAAAGTTTTCGCGAAACAGCACATTTGCTCCCAAATTTCATACTACCTATATTACATTTTAGTTGGTATAATTTCCATGGGATTTCTTTACTATAACAGTCCAGTTTAAACCTGTGACTAATTATAAACTTCTTTTTGTAACTGTTAGGCACGACACCGAGCCATTAATCATTTCTGTTTTTACTAGAGGATGATGTGACACTTTTTCTGACTATGAATGCGTCTGAGTAGGTTCAAGTCTCTTACCTATTTCTGCCACCAAACAGGAGCATTTGCTCCATTCTCTGTTTCGGTGAAGCATTTTATCTTGGTCCTCAGGGAACACACGTCTATAGCTTTTATTTATTTGACGTTAGTTTTTGGTGTCCACGGGCTGCAGTAGTCACTTATAAATACCATCAAGTGGGTTTGTAAGCTCGTTTATCACTCCAATGATAAGTAAAAAATTAATAATGCAATGCCCGATGTAATGATGTTAAATTTAAAAATACGTTGTGCAGGTAAATTGTACCAATTGCGTGATATCATAATAATGACTGTGTTTTGCCCTGAATAGTTTTACGGTCTGAACTAACCCAGTATTTAAAATGCACATGTACAATGCGGTGGTTGCCGACGTCATCCACTTTGCACCTTTGCAGTAATATTTTTGCTACTATTGCGCCTGTACGGTTTTTAAGGGAGGACCAGGATACATAAAAATGCAGTTTTTAACGTATTGTATTAGTGATTGCGTATTGAAAAGTTTCCTCAGTGAGTTAATATTAAATATTGGTTTTAGTTGTTTAATAACATAGCTGCCGCAACTTTAGATAAATGGTTAGTGTTTATGTTTTAATTTATTAACTATTGAAATAGCAATAAAGAAATATCAATAAATATGTAGAAATAGAAATAATACATACTATTCAAAAATCAAAATCGTCTAATAAGTGCAAGGGGCGCTACCGCTGTATCTTCTTCTTTTTTTATAAAGAATACAGGGTCACGAATATATTAAGCATGTACAGCATACCTGCGCTTTGTTTTTATTCGTTTGTACAGATGGAATATTTACCATAGAAAAGAAAGGTCCCGTTATGAAATTTCGATACAAGTCCAGTCATAATGGGTAGTACATATTTTCAACTTTATATAATTACTTAAATTATAATAAATTATCATTATCATGTTCAGAAGTACCTACTTATATCAAATTTAAGAACTTAAATATTGAAGTTATTTAAAAAATGGAAGTGAATGTTTCAAAACGTTTGCTGTTTTTCAATTCATTTCGTTTCTGTTGTCCTGTCAAAAAAGTCTAAATCAAATGTCATAATAAAATGACAACAAACGTCACCTCCACCTCTACATCTCTACATGTACAATTTATAATAAAAGCAAACAAAACAAAGTTGAAAGAAAGAAACACTTTTTGTGCTTTTGTTAGAAAAAAGAAAATTATTATTTCGTCGATTTGTTTCATTAGACCTTTAAGCATGGGATATATAGAAGCAATTTATGAGTTTCTAAAGTTGCGAATAAAAGTTAGTTGTGTTACTTTCGCTTTAATTATTATCTTCAGACACCTGTTTTGTGTTTGTTAATGTGTGAATATTTTGTTATTAAAATATGTATTTTTTCTAGACTGTTCTAGAGTCAGGGAGTGTGGGGAACGCGTCGTCGTCTGATGAGGAGTTGGAGCAGTGGGAACAAATATTCATGATGAGAGATGAAAATGGAAATAGCTATAATGACAAGTGAGTTAAAAAAAATAATATTGAATGTGATGAAAGTTTGAAAGTGTAACCAATTCAAAACCATAGAATAGAATAGAATCAGTTTTATTCAATATAGATTACTGTACATAATACTTATTGAAAGTTGTTTTAATCATAGTTTTACTAAAACTTAGTATACTATATATATATATATTAGTGTTGACACAGAGCAATATTCACATTCTTTTCTATCCTACAAAATTACATTGCCATGTTTTGTAATCCCTTTATTGTAGCCTATAAAAAGTCCCCCATATATTGCTTATAGCTTGGCGGGCAGGTTGGCAACTGCAGTTTTTATATTATTGAGTTGTTATGTTATTTCCAAGATGCTGTTGCAAATCTCATGATTTGTTACCTTCTGTTGCCTCTTACGACACCCTCGAGATAATATGCATAATGGATATTCTTATACTGCCACTACGTGGTTTACTAAAACTAGGTATATGTTTATGTATCCTCCCATTAATTTGGTTTGGACACTATTTTGTAAATATACTTAGTAACTGTCATATTTATTATAAAACCAAGTTTTTGTTGCTAAGTTGGTAATTATGCAGCCATAAATTACAGTAAAATCTGTAAAATTTTAAACTGCTTACAGCTTGCAAGGAGCAGTCATTTAACATTATTGGTTGCCAGGTATTTACTGTAAGTCCTCAGGAGGGACAATGTACCTGTAGCATCTTTCATTAATAGTTATATACTAGTATCCATGCCCTAAAGTGCTGTTTTGTTTTTTAAATGGTAGCTATATTAGGTTGGAACACGAATGGGTCAGCTTAACCGGGGAAGGACCACATTCCCACAGAATACCAGCATATAGCTGTGTTTCGTATGGTGAGTGTAGAGAACCGGAGACCCCTTTTCTGGAAACAAGCCATTCCATCTTACTCCTCAGAGGTGGCAACACATTTGCATTTTGGTTTTTAATCAAAGTGGGAGTAGATGTCTATGGGCCACAGCATCCACTTACCATAAGGTTAACTGCGTACTCGTTTGTCATGTTTATTCCTGTTAATCTAACTTGTAATTTAAAAAAATTATATTATGATATTATATATGAGTAGAAGATGAGTTAATATTTTTTGATTGCAGGAGGAAAAAACGCAGCATATGGTGTCGTCCCTCATGTATTCCTGTTTCAATTGTGATTTTGTTAATAGTTCTTGTTGTATTAGTGCCATTATTAGATCAGCCAAACGTTGTTCACGTGATGTCACCAGCTGCTCCCGTAACTGTGCATTGCTCAGATGAGTGTAGGTGAGTTATTGTTTTTTATTCATATAATAATATTTAAGAAACCTTATTGCTTGTGATGAATATATTTATTTCATACAGTGTATGATGTTGACCATAGTTTTGTTGTTAAATAACTCAGCTGCTGTTTTCTGAATTCTAAGTTTATATCTCGACAGTAGCCAATACTTTTGCTAAAACACAGATTGTTTGTTAGTCTGGATGTATTGTGTACCTGATCTGTTTGATATTGGATCCTAGCCTATCTTATTGTTGTAAGGCATGTATGAGTGCTTCAGTGATTGCTCATACAGTTGTGGTGTATAATAATTTGTTGAGCAATTGATTATATTTGCTATGGCCAAATTTGATGGAGAAACTACAGTGTACACTGTACATTCAAATGTAGTTAATTGTATTTGATATTATGAAGTATCTTCACAGTGAAGAACAAACATTGCAAAAGATGTTTTTGAGTTAGATGTAAATTCTTCTCCTTTACCAGCTTTTTTTAATCTACAGCTGGGTTTAGAAATTTAAAAAATGGGCTAGTTAGCATGTTATTCTGTAAACATTTAACAATATTCATCATCTGGATGGACGAACACACTGCTACTACCCTCATACTATTAATGTCAAATAGGAGAAAAAAAAGCTCATTACAGCCTATCATAAGTTAACTGCTGCCATAGGTTTTCCCCAAGAAATACTACAAAGTTTGGTCCTAAACCGTATGAAACTATCAACTTCCTGCATCTCTTCCATGGTTGTAGCACGAATGATTTGGTTCGACTGGGGAAGGACCACATTCTCACAAAATACCAGTGTAAAATAGCAGCTTAATGCTGCTGCGTATCGTAGGGTGAGTGTAGAGAAACAGAGAACCTCTTCACTGTAAAGGAGGAATTCCATCTTAGTTGTCAGGGGTGAAAACGCATTTGTATTTTGATTCCGGATCGAAGATAGGTATGGATATGAATGGATAGACACGTATAAGCTACAGCATCCACTTACCATAACATTGAATTTGTGTTCGTTTGTCACCCTTATTGCATAATAAATTTTACATCTGGTAAGATCATCACTGCACCTAGTGGAATAATTTAGTATATCTGCAGTAGAACCAGAGTAAATTATGTCTTTTTGCCTCAAACTTAGTGCCATATAACACAGACATAGTTTTTAGATCTATATCTGTGCCATACAATCTACTTGTATTTGTGCCAGATGTAAAAATAGAAATTATCACTGACGATGGAGAAATGTATCAAAAGATAACATATCTGGTCTTGTGATCGTCATTCCGTCTGTCAAGTGTGAGGCAAATACTTCTATATACAATACTAGACGGGCACTACGGCACTAATACATTGTGCATTAAGTTACTGTCAATTCTCTGTAATTTCTTGAGTCGACTGCGAGCGGGCGAGAAGACTACTTCTTTGTTCTGTAAACCGTGAACGTTGTTTTCGACAATCTAACACTAATTTCGTTTAATGTGACTAAGTAAACGCTCTCATTATTTATGTGCGCACTTTGTCAACGTTATTTGAAGTTTATTTCAGATATGTAACTTAATAAAGTTACATATCTGAAATAAACTTACTTGCCTAAAAACTGTAACTGTCATAATTGAAAATACAAATTCGTGGCATATTGACCGTACCAGCTATCAGGCCAGCTGGCGCCCACAGCAGTGACACAGTATTTGTTCTGATATGTAGAGGCACGAAAGTCTAGCGGTGACCGTTATTGCGCATGAGTTGCGCTGATTGGCTCTCCAGTCGCATTCGTGCAATTCAATTCGTGTGCGTCCACACGTTTCTATCAGCGCTAGACTTACGTGCCGAGACTTGGAATTGCTGATCTTGTAGTATACATAGAAGTATCGAAATATCTTTGGTGTCAGGTGTCTGCTTGTCAAGCCAAAATCATCAAATGAAAGCTATGTTATTAATGTACAATTTTTGTTTCAGGTTATCGTTAGTGGAAAGTATTCCCGAAGGGCATATGTATCCTGCAAATATGACGCATACGCCCACTAAAAATGTTTGGTTAGATTTAATAGATGAAGCTCAAACGTCTATAGAGATAGCGTCTTTTTATTGGTCTCTTAGGTATAATGAATTTTATCCATATAATTCTTCTATAGAGGTAAGTACTAGGCTCATATTGTGACATATTCATTTTATACCCTTACTTATAAAATTTTTGTTTTATATAGAAAAATTAGACTAAGCTTAAACTAAGCACTCGCGCGTGAATTTCTCAGTAAGCAAGATATGAGGGCTATTAGTCGCTGGCACCAACGATGTTGTTAATTGCAATTTTGAGTAGTAATTTACCATGTACTCGGCGGTGAAGGAAAACATCGTTATGTAACCTGCATGTCTGAGGAAATTAACAAGTTTAATTTGATTACATTTGAAGTGGTTAAGTCCATCAACACGCAATAACCGCATCGCGGCGGATTAATTGCTCCATAATTCTCAGATATTAGAGACCTGTGCTTAGCACTGGCACATAATTATGTAGGCTGTAACAGTACTTAAACTTAAAAAAAATAAAAACAACTGCGGTCGCTATCTGATGGTAGCGTAAGAGAGTGACGAGACGTGCTCGAATTTCAAAGTTTGTGCCTTGCAATCATTGATGTACCAAGCGATTGATGGCAAAGAACATATCACAAGAAACCTGGTATATGCCTGAAAAATATTTCGTACAATTTTTTTCCTCTCAGTAAGAACTAAGTTCGACAATAAACTTAGCATTATTTGTATCTACCTTTTCACAGTGGTAGAGCCACACGGCAGCTTTTGCTGTCGCACGAATGGGCCGGCTCGAAAAGGGGTAGTACCACGACCTCACAAAAAACCAGCGTGGTGTAGAGGTTTACCTCTGCATTTCGCTTGGTGAGTGCAGGTGGCCGGAGGCCCTTTTTACTGGAAATGGGGCATTCCATCTTAGTCCTCACGGGTGACAACGCATCTACATTTTGATTTGTAACAGAGGATAGATGTAGATGTCTATGGGCCGCAGTAACCACTTACCATCAGGTGGACTGTGCGCTCGTTTGTCACCCTTATTCTATAAAAAAAATCCTATAATATAGTTATAAGTATGTATTTGTAGGCAAATAAGTAGGTATTTAATATTTATGTAAGTTATCGGTATACTTTGCTAATGATTGCAACAAATTGTTCTAATTAATGATGTCAGCAATTTAGAAACGGAAGAGTTAACATTTTATTTGCGAATGTAATGTTTATGACAATGTAATGTAATTTTACATCTATACAAATAAATAAAATTGAAGTGTCTGTTTGTAATTTCAAAACTACAGTTTTTTACTAAATGCATATGAAAGTAAATACGGTACTTTTAACTAAAATACAATTTTTAAAATTTTTGTCTGTCTGTCTGTTTGTTCTGGCTAATCTTCGAAACGGCTGGACCGATTTTGACGGGACTTTCACTCGCAGATAGCTGATTTCATAAGGAGTAACATAGGCTACTTTTATTTTAGAAAAAGAATTAGGGTTCCACGCAAAAACATAAAAACCCTAACACGCGGGCGAAGTCGCGGGGAACAGCTAGTCATTTTATATATCGAGACAGTAAACTCCGTTGGTAGTTTTAATCACCAATAAAATATTACCTACGCTCGTATAAGTTATGATCTGTGACGTTCGTATTAGATCACATAATTTATGGTTCATGAGATCATAATATAATTTCTTTAATATTTTATGCCTTATTCTATATCTATATTTTTATGTCTCTCGTCTCAATGCTGTTCAAAAATAATCATAAATGTTATTTTTATCATTAATAAGAAAATATGTGGGATCGTGTCGGGAATTATTGTCACTATAGATATTACTTAGAAAAACATTCACATTATGGCTTTTTCAGCCCATTGATTCCGGCAATTAAATTCTAACTAATAGGCTAACAGACGTGATGACTATAATTTACCTTAAATCTGAACATCTAATGCAACATTTACCTCATTTCTTTTCATTTAGCCCGATGTATCAATATTACGAGCATTGAGACATCGCGACATCAGAAAACCGATATCGATTAATCACCGTTGCCGTAAAACGCCGATATTACCTATCTCTAAAACGAATATGTTACCATTTTCAACTAGGATGTTAACTGCGTTGAATTTTCATGTATATTGATTTAATCGTGACGCTTGACGAATTGACGATCGCGAACAACATGATTATCTCGTCTTTTAAATAAGTATAGTTTTATTTTATAGAATACGGGTGACAAATGAGCACGCAGTCCACCTGATGGTAAGTGGTTGCTGTGGCCCATAGACGTCTACATCTATCTTCGTTTGCGAATTAAAATGCAGATGCGTTGTCAGCCGTGAGGACTTAGATAAAATGGCTCTTTTCCAGTAAAATGAGTCCCCGGTTCTCTACACTCACCATACGAAACAGCAGCATTAAGCTGCTATTTTAAGCTGGTATCCAGTGAGAGCGTGGTTCTTCGGTCGAGCCGACCCATTCGTGCTACAACTATACTATTAATATAGCTGCAGCATGGCTCTACCACGTAAAAGTATTTAAAAGACGACATAATCATATTATAGCATTTCATATAGTCACCTTTTAGACAGCTACGGATCGAAAATGGATTATAACCTGAACAAGATATACAACATGTAACAAAAACCCTGTGGTTCCCGTTAAGTACGTTATCACGATAAGTATTCAAACCTATAGAAATAACTTTTTTTTAAAAACTCGAACATTACTTTTTTTATTTTATTAAAAAAACAATTGTACGATCATATTTTTTTATTTTATAATTTTTTTTTAATTTTATGTGGTTTTATTACCTCTTACTGACACTAGCCGATGCTAAAGCTTAGTAAAGCGGGGTCTTTGACACAATCCTCTTACTTCCCAGATAATGCCGAGGTAATAAAACCACATACAATTTGCATACAATTTTTTTAATAAAATAAAAAAATTATTGTTCGAGTTCTTAAAAAAAGTTATTTCTATACGTTTGAATAATGATCCTGATAACGTACTTAACGGGAACCACAGCGTTTTTGTTACATACTGCATATTATGTATAGTGTATACATGGGTGGTAGCGTAATAGAAGCGCAATATCATTCCGTGGGTGTCGTAGAAGGCAACACAGGGGAGTGAAAGAGAAGATGGGCAGGAGCATTTTCCTGATAAGTCACTACCAAGCGTGGCAACTATGGTAAATATTGGAGATATTGATAAATATGATATATGAAGCAATCTATGAAAGAGGCCTTTGCAGCAGTATACTTAGGCTGTATCTTGATATGTATGATGAAAATTCCTTTTTTTTTTAGGGAGAACAAGTGTTCCAAGCACTGTATGCTGCCGGGTCAAAAAGGAAGATTAATTTAAAAATTGCTCAAAACTGGCCTACTAAAGCTTATCCTAATATAGATACCGAATATTTAGTTAAGAAAAAAGCAGCGCAGGTATGTGAGAAACAAATGTCGCGACAGTTAGCGTTTTCAAATTTGTATTTTTATGGTACTTTTGAATTGAGACATTTGTGTTATGTAGGCCATATTCAAGGCAGAATTAAAGGGATTGAAGCCATAGAGCAACAAAGAAGCAGAGGCCTCAAGTAATTTAACAAACTTGTTTATAAAATGTGTAAAATTAAATAAAAATTATACCATTAGGTGAAAGGTTTATTGTTAAATAGTTCGATGAAAAATCTGGAGATTTCAGTAAAATTAAATTGTCAGTAAATAATGTTTAGTAATAGTAATAAATAATACACGCATTGAGAACAAAATAAAACTTAATTGCTTAATACATATTGTGTATTGTATTGTGTATTATGTGTTAGCCATTTTTATCAAACATAATTAAGGAATATTTAATTCGTTGGAGGTCTCGTGGCTTCAACTTTTGTTTACCTGTTTTGCTCACCCACAGGTTAGAAGCTTAAACTTTTCGAAACTTTTGGGCAATGGCGTGCTACATACGAAGTTCTGGATCGTGGATCGATCACATTTTTATATTGGCAGTGCGAATATGGACTGGAGATCCCTGACTCAGGTATGCTTATTTAAATTCTGTTTATTTGTCACGCTAGTGATTCAAAGGGCAACTTGGCTAGCATCTTATCTTAATCCCGAAGCTCAAACTTATTTAGAAAAAATGCGTGAGTGGCGTGGAACACTCGGTTGGAACAAAGTTCCTTGCGTAGTATATTATTATTGATAAACGTAGGTATTATATTATTAATTAACAAATACAAATAAATGAATTACTAGCGTCTATTAAAATGAAGTGTCATTTGAAATAAAATAATATTTCTTTCATGGCAAAATAAGAAAAAGTGCGAGGGAGATGGATATTATTCCATCTCACTTCCTTATTTCGCCGCCAAGGCCGTCTACACTATGACACAAGAGGTAGTGACGAAAAAATCTTACACTTTTTGTCGTCTAGCTCCCATCCGCCAAACCTGTACCGTCCGTTAAAGAACTTTGTTCCAATACATATATACATATAAACATAAACTCTTACGTTTGTCACTCAAGAGGGATAGACAAAGCAGCACTTCTCGCTTCTGACGAAGATATCCCTAGTAGACGAAGATATCATTGCGCCAGCCATAAAGTAAAAAAATATCAAACAATGGACAAGTAAGGGGGCACACTATGACTGTGCTTTGTGGCAGTATTTAAGGGAGGTCCTCAACAGTGGACTTGTGATGGGTAGGAATGATTGTGATGGTAGATATATTGATGTGTTAAATTATACCGCACTTATATTTTAAACGTGGTAGAGCCATGCTGCAGCTATATCAGATAGTTGTAGCACGAATCGGTCAGCTCGACCGGGGCAAAACCACGCTTTCACAGAATACCAGCGTTTAACGCTGCTGTGCTTCGTATGGTTAGTGTAGAGATCCGGAGACTTTTTTTTACTGGAAACGAGGCATTCCATCTTCGTCCTCACGGGTGACAACGCATCTGCATTTGGATTCGTAATCGAGGATAGATGTATATGTCTACGGGCAACCACTTACCATCAGGTGGACTGTGTGCCCGTTTGTCACCCTTATACTTTAAAAAAAATATATTTAATCAGGAGTCCTACCATTAGTAGGCTCAGGATGATGTTGGTGCCCCCATATGACCCAGCATGGCATCCAACTATTTACCATATGAAATATTTTTTTTTATTAGAGAGAGAACAGGAAATCTTCAAAAAGACACCGGTTAAGTTGTTGTAAGTAAGACCGGTAGTGTGGGATTTTACCCACTAAAACCTCCTCTCTCTTAAAAACCCAGCACCACGGGACCGCGTTAGCATTACTTCATGGTGCTGGTACCTGGTACTTCTCCTCATAGCTGCTTTACGCGACAACTCCTCCGTTTCTTCTTCTTATATGAAACATTATATTAAATATGTTAAACAAATTGAGAGTAGGGGTACTGGGATTAGCGGTGATGGGAATAGTCTACGCAATTAAGGGAGGGCAGGACGCAATTAAGGTGTTCTTCAAACTAGGTAAGAGACATCATTTTATTTTATTAAGCGTCGTCTCCACCTAAGTTTTGTTGCCAACACAACAGTTGCCAACAAAACTTGTTTCCATTTTCGGCGGCAACATCAAAGAAATACGCTTGTTACCAACATTTTGTTCCCCCGACGGAGACGCTTGTTGGAAACAGTTGGAAACATAACTGTTGTCAACATTTTTGTTGGATACGCGACTTTACGCGGGTCTTAGCTAATAAATTGTTTAACATTTTTAATATAATGGATTTCCGTAAAGTAACGCCTGATTCTATTAATTATCGAAACATAATAGCCAAATGCTGCTATTTCACGCTGATACTTCCCGGTCTAGCCGACCCATTTTACTTCAGCTATTATACGCTTGTCTTTATATTAAAGGCTTGGCTCTATCACGCGAGGTGCTGATAGAATTTATGCTTTGTTTTATTCCTAATAAGTTAAAAACGCAAATCATACTTCTGACAGGTAAAAGAGCTGGGCATAGTGGCGTACAACTGTTCGTGTCTCGCGACGGACTTGGGGAAAATTTTCGATGTGAGTTTTTTTATTCCTTTTTCTTTAATTGAGCTTTTTTAATTATTAATGTGGCTGGTGTTTATTTATATTTGTCGCCAATGCGATTTTTTTAATATTATTAAAGTAGGGTGTTTTCGATGCTTTGGCTGCTTGCTATTAAAGTAGTAATATTCTGGACAATTACAACTTTGCAGCCTATTTCATATCTCATATACGAAATCCTCTATATACATATGTCTAGACAGAATGGTCGGTGTTCGAAGAACTGCGACACCTTTGCACTAGTAAGGACAATAATGATGTCCTCCAGACCGGTCACGGCGGGCATTCTTAACGGGGACTAGCCATCTGTTCAGGACAAGATTATAGTGCACGACTTAGTACAATGTGATGGCAATCCGACTGGACCGGTGAGAGATCAGGCACAGTACCATCGGCTTTACGTTTTCCGTGTGATGAAACACCGCTAACTTCCTAACTTCGGGCTGCTACTGAGAATTTCTTGACAAAATCCTGATGAACATATTTTGCTCCGACGCGGAATTCAAACCTAGGATCACATGATCAACAGTCGCGTTTACGAACACTATACAAATGAGGCAGCCACTATTAAGAACTAAGGATGTAGCTCTACTGATAAACATAAAAATTGAATCACTGACCTGCGTAATTCTATTAGATCAGTGGATTGAATACTTGTCTGTTAATTTTAAACAATCAAAATTTAAAAAATAAATAATGAAGTTACCGTGTGTGTAGTTAGTTGTGATGCGATATAAATTTAAATACTAGAAATTCAATTTATTTTTTAATTTACGTTATGAAGACACGATTGAAAAAAAAGTAATTAGAATTTGAAATGCAATACGTGTATTAAGTAGCATCTCTCTTAAGAGAGTGCTTTGATGTTAGAGAACACGCTTGGCTTTATTTTAGGGAGGCAGCGTCAGAAAATACCTTTATACAAGAAATAAGGTTCCGTTAATTAAAATGAAAAATTGGGCGCGAAATATCAAAACAACTTCGACTTTGCTAGCTAAATGTCAGAGTACGGTATTTAAATTTAGATCTTAGACCAATAAGATAAAGTCTATCTTACAACTTTAAAAATTTTCATTTAGCTTAAAGCAATTTTATTTATACAACACTAACGTATACATGTACCACCACATCACGTGGATGTGGTCTGTTAGCTGAGCATAATGTAACTATTTAGTTACAACAAATCATTCATTGTGACTTGATAGGACGAATGAATCACAACTATTTACTTGGGACTACGAAAGTCTTATCTATCATATTTAACTAAAGCCGTAGTTAGTTAGTATATTGCATTACATAAATTATAATGTACGATCGGCATTAGAACCTCTTTCATTTTGAGGAGGAGAAAATTTTTACAAGTTTTTTGAAAGACAATAATTGTTTCACTTTTGTTTGCCTTAAGCGCGAAGCGCGCAGGTATGATCTGCTAGGGCCTAAAAATTAAGATTCCAACGTTTTGTCGCATGAAATCGTATTCAGCAAGCAATCATATTATACAAATAAATGATATAAAAATCACATTGTCAGAAAGATAAATGGTTGTTGAACTTATTAATATTTTTTTTAAATCGGTTAATTTCAAAAAGGGGTTTTAGTGGCTTATGGTGTGGATTTATCAAGCACGCATGGCGGCGTAAACACGATAACTTTTGAAAATATCAATTGTTTAACTCAATCTATTTTTAAAACTCTTCATCTATCATGTGGGAAGCCATTGAATGTAAATGGCAGGTTAATTATGTTTTGTTTAGTTATAATTAATTTTTTCGGCTCTTAAATGGCGACATTTTCGGTGGTTTTAGCAGCCTTGTATTAATTTATTTTACTAAGTATTGATTTAAGCGAAGCGCGTCAGTTTAATATTATTTAAAATTGAAGTTTGACATAAAAGTATTGGAAAATTAGAAGTATAATAATAAGGTTATTAGTGACAACTAGTGTGCGCTTAGGGCATGCACAATTTGATTTACCAGTAGTTTCAACACTCCATTAAATATGAGCAAAAGCTAACTTTGTGAACGAATGTAAAAAGGCACTTAATTATTACCCACACCTCCAGACATACACGAATATATTATTTCTGTGTTATTAATAAACTTCGCGACAATAGAACGCGAACAGAAATAATATTTTAATTTCTAACGTTTACAGCGCGTTTCGTATAGTGAATTATGTGAATTATGTCTCCTAATTCAGGTCTTTGGTTCGTCCAAAGACCAAATTAGGAGACATTAATTATAATAAATAATCAACACATTATATGTTCAATTAAAATTAGTCTCCTTTTATGAATCACGGCACGGTGTGCTCGTTGGTCATCCGTAGTGGACTTTCGAAGCGGAGAGCTATAAATAAGCCCAAAGTGAACTAATACACTAATGGCCTCTTTAAGTCTCGTGGTGTTACAGTCACTTTGACTTAAAGTAATAAAGACAACACGAGACTTAACTGCATCTTAAAATTGAGCAGTGTGTGAGTATATGGGCATAAGCAAGCTATCGAACGGGTATTTATACGCGGGATGTAGATGTAGATTAACGATGACAAACGAGCACACAGTCCACCTGATGGTAAGTGGTTGCTGTGGCCTATAGACATCTACATCTATCTTCGTTTGCGAATTAAAATACACATCCGTTGTCAGCCTTGAGGACTAAGATGGAATGCCTCTTTTCCAGTAAAAAGGGTCTCCGGTTCTCTACACTCACCATACGAAACACAGCAGCATTAAGCTTCTATTTTACGCTGATAGCGTGGTCCTTCCCCGGACGAGTCGACCCATTCGTGCTACAACTATACTATTAATATAGTTGGGGCATGGCTCTACCACGTATAAATAAATATAAGGCGTATTAAAAGTTAGTTACACAAATACGTAAGAAATATGTAATTCACCTTTGATATGCTGTGGTGATGCGATGAGTTATACGTAATCGATTTTTTATTTACCTAGTAAAGTAGGTAGTTCTTTTTAAACACCGTAATTAAGGTGACACTAGTCGACAATATTTCCATACAAATTTCGGAGGGGTTTTACTACGCTGTTTGACAGTGTACATCCAAAGTTAAACATGATATCGTTTTGTCTCATTATTAAATTTGTCTGTACGGAAACAGAATAGTAAAATAAAATGTTATTAAAAAGTTACGGGCTACCAAAGATTCGTTTTTATTGCCAATTTTAACACAACTTTGGGCGTAAATTAGTAATAAAAGAAGTGTAAAATTTCCAAAACAAAGTCGGTACCGACACAGTTCAATTATCGAAGAATTCAATAAATTTTATTCGTAATTGATTTATGCAGTGGTTTTTTCATAAAACCCCTTCTTCCAAAGGCCTTTTCGTATTTTTTTACGCGCGTATGTTACTATGAATTATCGTGCATCTCACTGAATAATGTTTCCCCCGGTGCGGTGCGGGAGGACGACGCTTACACACACATGCACGGGCGGTGACGCGCGCTTATTCGAGTTTTATTCGAAACGAAAAGTTTTGCTATTTTGTAATTTGGACGCCAAAGACAAAAGACAGCATGGAAATTGATATAATTGAAAGAGATGAATGATGCGTTTTGGACGACAGACAATATTGTAAAATTTTCGTCGGTAATATAATATAATTATAAAAGTAAAAAAAGTAAAGTCTATATACGATTACTATATAAAATTGCAACAATTTCATTGGTCCCGACGGGGATCGAACCCGGGTTGCTCGCGTAATGTGATACTTACGGCAAGCGCTAACCATCTGAGCTACCACGGCTCTCAATGCAAGTGTTATAAATAAATAAAGAATTACAAAACAGTTTAATTATTTATTAGACGACTCTTGCGGCGGACAAACAAGGTACATTATGTGGGATTTTCATAGGTACCTACTGTTATTACCTAGATACCTACAACCTACAATAGAACAAAATGTCACAAAACGTCACCGCGTCGTGGCCACAAAATTGTAAACTTTAGGTAGGTACGTCAGTACTAAGAAAACAATCTTGATGGGTCACTTGTCTTGATAAAAACCTGTGTTTACATTTAGTGATATTGAGTATATATAAAAAAGTAAGAAGACAGGTAAGTATTTTTGAAAACAATTTATAGGTAGGCAGAACTAATTACAATTACCTATTATCTAAATATTATAAATGCGAAAGTTTGGATATTTGGATGGACGGATGAATGGATGTATGTTACTCAATCACACCAGAACCGCTGAAGGGACCTGGATGATATTTTGCTCAGAGATAGGTTATAGTTTGGAATTTTATTATTCTTTTTATTTTTTAAAAAAAACGTTACCCCCACACTAGGATTTTCTCCGGTATCGTGGAGGCAGTTTACAAACATCCAGACCCGGAACAACTATTTGCAGGCCATACAAATACTTGTTCCGTGCGGGATTCGAACCCGCGGCTGCCAGTGCAACAATTCATTGCTAAGCAACTGCGCCACGGAGCTGTAAATAACATATATGATACCGTTTATTCAGGTAGGTATTTCGTTCCCGTTGGATAATTTTTGCAGTTATAGACGTTCGAAGCCGAACTGAGTGATCGCTGCATGACCACTCGGGAAAAACTAAACATAATAAAGTAAGCAATCTATATTAGGTATATAGAGCCACAGAGGTATAATATGAAGCGATAAAGCAGCGCCTAATAATTTCGCGGTTTCACCCGCGTCATCACGTGTCCGAGATGCGTGGCATTACATGACACCTAGTTCAAGCATTTTATAATTGCAATCAAATATTTTATTTAATAATAATGTATGGAAAAATTGTCATAATTAATGGAGTACTTTTATTTTATCTGTCGGCATACTATGCGCGGTTTTATCCAGTTTTAAAGAAAAACGTACCTACACGATACATGAAAGTGTGTAGGCAAGAAATGATTCTTGATAAATTTGCTATCAACCTCTTACACTTATTACTTAATCAATTAAACTTTCAAAATACCATAGCAACGTGA